ACATATACAGATTTATATACATATCCACATATATCCACATATCCATATACAATCCCATATACACATTTTTATACATACAAATATGTACCCGCACCTGTGTGCATACAAGCATCCTCACATCTAAACACACGCCAATATTTACCATCGTATAGAAATATCCACACACACACACACACACACACACACACACACACACACACACACACACACACATATATATATATATATATATATATATATACCAAGTATACATCTGCAAATATCATATGGGAACATATAAATCATAGCCTAAAGGTAAGAATGTATATTAATTTACCTATGCCCATGTACAACTGCATATATATTATATTATAACTGATAGTTATTTTTTTATTTTTTTTGCGTAGTGAATTATATTGAGATGATTTTTGTGTCTGCATTTAAAGATCATCTCACTGCGTTTGTTTAGTAACACATCAGGATCTTTATACTTTATTATTAGAATCTTTTGTTTAATACATAGGTCACATCGCTCTCTGAAATTTCTTGGAGTTCGAGCCCTACAGATGATTTTCCATTTCACTTGTTGGATGAAGCCGTTTCCCACTATATCCCAACAGTGTTTCGATAATGCTGTTTGGTGTCTTTGGGATTCATTTGTGAAAGTATGGCGATGGTGTAAAAACGATGTTTCCAATTTCCCGCAGATATTCCTATATATATATTTTTTTGATTTACATTTTCCTTTGGAGTAATTATGGCTTCGTATACCACCTTTTTTGTCATGCAGATTCCTCCTACTGGACAATCAGATCTTGCTCTGTAATTACAGGTCGATGTTTCGTTTTGCAATTGGTTAGTTTGAAATTCCCTAATGATCTTGCTATTGTGAGAGTTTATAATTTTTAATACGCAAGTACATTCAACTGTACATTCAGTCATCTTCAGGCATGGAAATTATTTTATTTTTGGTAAAAATAAACAAACTGTATTTTAGTAAAACCAAAACAAATTGAATAAAAACTGTTACCAGACAAATCGTCTTCCTGTAGCCAACCTCTTAACCCAGGGCAGTACTCCTACCTCAAAGCGCTTGATGTAGGCCTCCCTGTTGAAGCAGCAAAATTGAGCAGCAAAATTGAGCAGTAAAATTGTCTAAATCGTTGAACAGCAAAATTTTCCAATTGTTAGAATGAGCTTTAAATATTTGTATCTTAGAAATGATTAAAGATATATTACCGTAATTCTCTGAGGATTTCAAATTACTACTGAACTCTATTTGAGCAATATTTTGACCTCCTGATCCAGTTTTCCTCTTCACTGTTCCCTCTTTTTTAAACTTATTCAACATTTTCTTGGTGGTTCTTGAATGAACTATGAAGATGGAAGTAAAGTGTGAATGCTGGTACCACTACTGAAGGTCTGAATGATCTTTTTCCTCTCACCATTTCTCAGTTGGGAAGACAGATTGAGAAAGACATAAAACAATTTTAATCTGTTCTCTTTCTAGCTCAGGACCGACTTATTGAAATACAAGCCTCCACTGTAAAAACTACTCTACAACATTGGCGACGAGGGATTCGTTTCCACACGGGAAAAGAAAAATTTTCGTTCACTCTACAACACATTGGCAACCGAGGATTTGAAACTCAGACGGAGAAAAAAAAAAAAACTGTTCGTACGCCTAACAACACATTGGCGACAAGTAATTCGTAATTCATACGGAAAAGAATTTTTTTTCCTTCACTCTATAAAAACTTTGGCAACCAGAATTCGAAATTCATACGAAAAAAATTTTTTAAGAAAAAAAAATTCGTTTCGCCATATACAACACTTGGCGACGAACGTATTTTGGATTCATACGGGAAAAAAAAACAAACTTTGCGTTCACTCTACAGCACTTGTCAACGTGGATTCGTAACTCATACAGAAGTGGAAAAAAAATCCACCCGCCATAACAAACGTGGCGTACGACGGGTTCGGTTTCATACAGTGTAAAAAAAAAAAATTTCGCTCGCCACGTTATTTAGTGACGAAATTCGTTTTTCATACGGAGGAAAAAAGAAAAAAAAAATTGCTCGTCAAATTTTCGGCGACAACATCTCGGATTCACATTTAAAAAAAAAAAAAAAACTTGGCAAAGTTTTTTCGAAAGACAAGACGTCAACTTAGTGACGAAAAAATCAGTCGTGTTCTCAACTGAGAAAAGAATTTTTTTTTCTCGATAAGACAGTTTGCTCAAATAGGTCACGAATTACAAATTCATTTTGAATCCCCTCTACAATATTTAAGCATTGTGTAAACTTTTTGCGAAGATGGAGGAATGCAAAAATATATTCCAGGATTTTTTTAAGTTCCAGCCGGAACGACAAAAGACAATATTGGACCAGCAGAAAACATTCCAGATACAACTTCAGGAGGAAACCTTTAATAGACAGATTCCATTTCAACCAGAAATGGAACTGATGCATAAGGAGTTTCAAAACAAAATTCTGGAAATAACTGAGAAGAGGAAAGAGAAAAATCTACAAAATGATTCTTTCCCAGAGAATACAATATGGAATTCGATTGAAATATTCACGCACAGTCCAGACGAAGAGATAACTTTTGAAGAGTATTTTAAAAATTATACGGACGTGTATAACGAGGACTGCCACACGTGGTCTGAAGGAAAGAAGGTTAGACTTCTTTTAAGCAAGTTAGGAACTGCTGAACATAACAAATTGGTAAACTACATTTTACCGAAAAAAACTAGCGAGTTGACTTTTACCGAGGCGGTAAATATATTAAGTGAATTATTTAGTAAAAAGACATCTTTGTTTCACAAGAGGTGGAAATGTTTGAATCTGATGAAAGATGAACAAGACTTTAAAACATATGCAGCTAATGTGAACAAGCATTGTGAAGAATTCAAACTAGCAGAATTAAGCGCTGACAATTTCAAGTGCTTGATGTTTGTCCAGGGTTTAATTTCAGAAAGAGACGCAGAATTGAGGAAATTGCTACTTTCAAAATTGGAAAACGAACCGAGGATTTCGGTACAGAGTTTGGCAGAAGACTGCACAAGATCTGTTAGCGTAAAGAAAGACTCGAAAAGATAGAACAGTCTGTCGTTTCGCATGTAAGGAAAATAAGCTATAAAAAAGAAAGTCAGTCTTCCAAAAAGAATTCTAAAATTTCGGATTATCAAACAAAAAGTGAAATACCAGAAAAAAATA